TCAAGCCACTGTCAATGTGAGAGAACTCGTGTCCAGCTTATAAGCCTATACTTGCATAAACCACAAGTGAAGATTAACAATCTTTGGACAACACCCACCAGTGGGACTCGAACCCAGAAAGCACAACTACCTTCCAGTAGCCGGCATAACTAGTATGCTTTAACCCACTACGCCATCAGACCTTACAAAAGAAGTAGATAGTTCGAGATATATATCTCAAACATCTCCACCTCCCGAAGGCACCAGATGAGTGAGGGGTCAGTCTGCATTTTTCATCAAGCCACTGTCAATGTGAGAGAACTCGTGTCCAGCTTATAAGCCTATACTTGCATAAACCACAAGTGAAGATTAACAATCTTTGGACAACACCCACCAGTGGGACTCGAACCAAGAAAGCACAACTACCTTCCAGTAGCCGGCATAACTAGTATGCTTTAACCCACTACGCCATCAGACCTTACAAAAGAAGTAGATAGTTCGAGATATATATCTCAAACATCTCCACCTCCCGAAGGCACCAGATGAGTGAGGGGTCAGTCTGCATTTTTCATCAAGCCACTGTCAATGTGAGAGAACTCGTGTCCAGCTTATAAGCCTATACTTGCATAAACCACAAGTGAAGATTAACAATCTTTGGACAACACCCACCAGTGGGACTCGAACCCAGAAAGCACAACTACCTTCCAGTAGCCGGCATAACTAGTATGCTTTAACCCACTACGCCATCAGACCTTACAAAAGAAGTAGATAGTTCGAGATATATATCTCAAACATCTCCACCTCCCGAAGGCACCAGATGAGTGAGGGGTCAGTCAGCATTTTTCATTTATAAATATATGCATATTTATATATATAAATATGCATATATATATATATATATATATATATATATATATATATATATATATATATATATATATATATATATATGTGTATATATTATTAAATATGACCGAAAAAGTAAGATTAATAATTCTAACACGAATTTTCTCAATCTTTCGTACATTTCTTTTCACTGTTGGAGGTAATTCAAAAATCAATTCTCCAAAATCCAATTTTTATTTCTAGTCTGACGCGACACGAGCGCGTTTCGTAAAACTTATTACATTTTCAAAGACTTTTTAGTTTACAAATACACAACTGAATAGAACTTACACATCTCCGATTTTGTTTATATCTACATTTGAGTGAGGTGGATGGGGTGAGGTGGCATTAATAGGGTATTAATTTCATCAACACAAGACAGAACAAGAGGTGGCATTAATAGGGTATTAATTTCATCAACACAAGACAGAACACGAAACAATGGGTATTGAAATGGAAGTGATCGTAGAAAGCCTATTGGTCCATATTTTAATTTTGATATAATTATTTCGTGTAACATTGCATTGGAATTGAGCTGTGTCATTTACCATACTGTTCATTCTGTGAGTATAGTTTATTTATTTTTTCATTATTTTCATTTCGTTTTTTTAACTTTTCTTCTTATGTTTCAGTGATGGGAACATCACATCATTTGATGTTCTCATTTTTCTGATGGGAACATCGGATCATATGGGAACGCATCGGACAGGGGAGTGGAGAATGGTGGGGAGGACAAGGGAGTAGTGGATGATGGGGAGGACGAGGGGATGGGGGAGGGGGGGAATGGTGGGGTGAATGCGAGAATGGGGGAGTGGCGGGGATGGTGGGGAGGACAAGGCGATGGGAAGGGGGGAATGGTGGGGAGGACGAGGAGATGGAGGGGGGGAGTGGAAGAGGATGAGGGGAACAGAGGAGGGGGGGAAAGGTGGTGAGGACGAGGGGACGTAGGATGGTTTGGAGGATCAGGGGACGGGGAGTGGGGGAATGTTGGGGAGGACAAGGGCGTGGGGGGAGGATGAGGGGATGAGGGAGGCGGGAAGGTCGGGAGTGAGCAAAGAGTCAGCAAACCAGGCATTCTCTATATCTCCTCAGACAATGAAATAAAAAAAATATTGTATACCCACAAGCATTTTTAATTCTGAAATTAACATATTAGAAACGTGCGCATTTTCTTTTCTTTTTTTCCATTCCTGAGCCACAACAACACGAGGCCAGGCATATATATATATATATATATATATATATATATATATATATATATATATATATATATATATATATATATATATATATATATATATATATATAACTGAAAACTCACACCCCAGAAGTGACTCGAACCCATACTCCCAGATGCCACGCAACTGGTATGTACAAGACGCCTTAATCCACTTGACCATCACGACCGGACATAATGAGGTGATAGCCGAGGCTATTTGAACCACCCCACCGCCGGCACTCGGATAGTAATCTTGGGCATAGCATTTTACCAAATCACCTCATTCTTTGGGGCACACGCGAGGAACACAAATGCGAACAAGCCTGAATGGTCCCCAGGACAATATGCAACTGAAAACTCACACCCCAGAAGTGACTCGAACCCATACTCCCAGATGCCACGCAACTGGTATGTACAAGACGCCTTAATCCACTTGACCATCACGACCGGACATAATGAGGTGATAGCCGAGGCTATTTGAACCACCCCACCGCCGGCACTCGGATAGTAATCTTGGGCATAGCATTTTACCAAATCACCTCATTCTTTGGGGCACACGTGAGGAACACAAATGCGAACAAGCCTGAATGGTCCCCAGGACAATATGCAACTGAAAACTCACACCCCAGAAGTGACTCGAACCCATACTCCCAGATGCCACGCAACTGGTATGTACAAGACGCCTTAATCCACTTGACCATCACGACCGGACATAATGAGGTGATAGCCGAGGCTATTTGAACCACCCCACCGCCGGCACTCGGATAGTAATCTTGGGCATAGCATTTTACCAAATCACCTCATTCTTTGGGGCACACGTGAGGAACACAAATGCGAACAAGCCTGAATGGTCCCCAGGACAATATGCAACTGAAAACTCACACCCCAGAAGTGACTCGAACCCATACTCCCAGATGCCACGCAACTGGTATGTACAAGACGCCTTAATCCACTTGACCATCACGACCGGACATAATGAGGTGATAGCCGAGGCTATTTGAACCACCCCACCGCCGGCACTCGGATAGTAATCTTGGGCATAGCATTTTACCAAATCACCTCATTCTTTGGGGCACACGTGAGGAACACAAATGCGAACAAGCCTGAATGGTCCCCAGGACAATATGCAACTGAAAACTCACACCCCAGAAGTGACTCGAACCCATACTCCCAGATGCCACGCAACTGGTATGTACAAGACGCCTTAATCCACTTGACCATCACGACCGGACATAATGAGGTGATAGCCGAGGCTATTTGAACCACCCCACCGCCGGCACTCGGATAGTAATCTTGGGCATAGCATTTTACCAAATCACCTCATTCTTTGGGGCACACGTGAGGAACACAAATGCGAACAAGCCTGAATGGTCCCCAGGACAATATGCAACTGAAAACTCACACCCCAGAAGTGACTCGAACCCATACTCCCAGATGCCACGCAACTGGTATGTACAAGACGCCTTAATCCACTTGACCATCACGACCGGACATAATGAGGTGATAGCCGAGGCTATTTGAACCACCCCACCGCCGGCACTCGGATAGTAATCTTGGGCATAGCATTTTACCAAATCACCTCATTCTTTGGGGCACACGTGAGGAACACAAATGCGAACAAGCCTGAATGGTCCCCAGGACAATATGCAACTGAAAACTCACACCCCAGAAGTGACTCGAACCCATACTCCCAGATGCCACGCAACTGGTATGTACAAGACGCCTTAATCCACTTGACCATCACGACCGGACATAATGAGGTGATAGCCGAGGCTATTTGAACCACCCCACCGCCGGCACTCGGATAGTAATCTTGGGCATAGCATAATCTTGGGGTGGTTCAAATAGCCTCGGCTATCACCTCATTATGTCCGGCCGTGATGGTCAAGTGGATTAAGGCGTCTTGTACATACCAGTTGCGTGGCATCTGGGAGTATGGGTTCGAGTCACTTCTGGGGTGTGAGTTTTCAGTTGCATATTGTCCTGGGGACCATTCAGGCTTGTTCGCATTTGTGTTCCTCACGTGTGCCCCAAAGAATGAGGTGATTTGGTAAAATGCTATGCCCAAGATTACTATCCGAGTGCCGGCGGTGGGGTGGTTCAAATAGCCTCGGCTATCACCTCATTATGTCCGGTCGTGATGGTCAAGTGGATTAAGGCGTCTTGTACATACCAGTTGCGTGGCATCTGGGAGTATGGGTTCGAGTCACTTCTGGGGTGTGAGTTTTCAGTTGCATATTGTCCTGGGGACCATTCAGGCTTGTTCGCATTTGTGTTCCTCACGTGTGCCCCAAAGAATGAGGTGATTTGGTAAAATGCTATGCCCAAGATTACTATCCGAGTGCCGGCGGTGGGGTGGTTCAAATAGCCTCGGCTATCACCTCATTATGTCCGGTCGTGATGGTCAAGTGGATTAAGGCGTCTTGTACATACCAGTTGCGTGGCATCTGGGAGTATGGGTTCGAGTCACTTCTGGGGTGTGAGTTTTCAGTTGCATATTGTCGTGTGCCCCAAAGAATGAGGTGATTTGGTAAAATGCTATGCCCAAGATTACTATCCGAGTGCCGGCGGTGGGGTGGTTCAAATAGCCTCGGCTATCACCTCATTATGTCCGGTCGTGATGGTCAAGTGGATTAAGGCGTCTTGTACATACCAGTTGCGTGGCATCTGGGAGTATGGGTTCGAGTCACTTCTGGGGTGTGAGTTTTCAGTTGCATATTGTCCTGGGGACCATTCAGGCTTGTTCGCATATATATATATATATATATATATATATATATATATATATATATATATATATATACATATATATATATATATATATATATATATATATATATATATATATATATATATATATATATATATATATATATATATATACACATATATAAGCAAGGAGAGTGTAGAGACTGACCTCAGTTGGAAGGCGAGGTGGGAGAGGGCCTTCCTGGCGAGACCAGCGGATGGCGGGCTGCGGGTTGCCGTGAGCGCTACACTCTAGCGTCACGGTAGAGCCCTTAGGAACATGCTGCTCTGGCGGGTCCTGGGCCTTGATGGTGGGTGCGAACTGGACATCGAGGGTGTGCTTCAGCTGTACAGGCGGCTCCATCTCGAAGGTACAGAGAAAGGTCCCGGCGTCTCTGGGTCTGGCGCCCGTGATGGTGAGACGGGCGCCGTCCACAGCGATGCGGGAGTCCCGGATCACTCTCTCACTCCCCACAGATATCAGCTTCTCCCTCCCTCCATTGGCAGGTATTTTCTTAATGATGAGCTTGTTAACACCTGTAAGGATCCACGCCAAAACCACTCACTCGTATTAGCTGTGACAATTACCTCACACGTAAACAATCAAGTCACCTTGAACTACACACAAATGAATGGCGTTTAACTATTACAATGGAATACATGTAGTTGCGGAATGATTGAATAATAAAACCGTGTCATATCAGTAGAGAATCAGCTGCTTATACAGTTACCTGCGCACAAATATGTTCTCCTCTGACCCACAATCAGAAAACTTTACGACTATATTTACCCAAATATAGTCATAAAAAATAAGACAAAATGCAAGATATATGTAACAGGAACATCGGTTCAGCTCTGCCATAACTGATCATACAGATCATTGAAAACACCTCTGAGGAATAGAGTTGATCATCATGCTACACCTGCTACTGGATGCCACACACCATACAACACCCGCTACAGGAGGCCACACACCATACAACACCTGCTACCGGAGGCCACACACCATACAACACCCGCTACAGGCCACACAAGTAGTGGAAACCGGGCCTACGACCGGTTTTCATTTTTTCATGGGCCGGTCATAGGCCCCGGGGTTTTTTCGATTTTTTCCCCCGGCCGGTCGTAGGCCCTGGGGTATTTTCGATTTTTTTTCCAAGGCCGGTCGTAGGCCCCTGGGTTTTCTCGATTTTTTTTCCAAGGCCGGTCGTAGGCCCCTGGGTTTTCTCGAATTTTTTCCGAAGGCCGGTCGTAGGCTCCTGGGTTTTCTTGATTTTTTTCCCAAGCCTGAACTTGGCCCCCTGTCATTTTCGCTCAAGGGGATTAAACGGCCGCCTCCAGTCATCCCAAAATTTCGTTAGCTCAGTGACCCTGCACAGGCACGTTAAAGGGGATTAAAAAGTCGGTCATAGTCCTCGAGGTTTTCTCAAATTTTTACACCAAGCCGAACATAGTACCCTGTCATTTAAATCTTTTTACTTCCAATCTATGTTAACCAGAACATCAACTGATACTATTAGATGATGAACTTCAGTAGGTCTATTATTTCTCTATTAATACCCCATTTCTTCTCCATTTATACACATCAATAATGTAACTCCATTAATATTCAGAAGGTTCTATTTATTCTCCTTACTTATCTGGAAGCTTTATATTTATAGCGTCCGGTCAAGGATCGTTTATTGAGCATAGGAATGAATGAATGAATGAAACCCAGAGCAACACAGAGCGTGAATTATCATGTAGCGTGGCGTTCAGCCCTGTTACCGAACCAGTATTTACCCAAGCTATTTCCTAAATTTAAAACTTATCCAATTTATACCCATTGTTTCGTGTTCTGTCTCGTGTTTATAGTATTATTATCCCCCTTTACTATGTTCCATTTTGTCACACCTCTATCATGTCACCCCTATTTCTTCGTCTTTCTAGAGAAAGTAATTTGAGCTTTGTCAATCTTTCTTCGGAGATTGCTTATTGAGCATAGGGCAAAATAAAAATGAAAACCCACTGTCATCCACTTGTATGAAAACAGTCCCCCTGCCAGGCGTGGTGACTTCAATGCGATTCAGTAGTAATCCAATATTGCTGCATAAACGCATAAATATATTTGCACTTGCAAAAATATATATGCACATCTCACATTCGCTCAAAAAACATGCCTCCCTACGCCTTGCTGTAGAATATAAGAAATCAAAATACTCATTCAGTGTACATATATATATAAATTACAATGAATAAAAGCAAGCCTCTCATGTTTTGAAATAAGGCCTTCTGCAGTTACCTTCTTTTCTGACGTCATCATCCCTAATGAGGTGCGACGCGCCAATGACCTCAAAGCTTCTAGCCTACGTGCTAAATGCAGATCCTAGGAGGTTCACACATTAGTGCGAACTCTTAATCAGGCTCAATACCTCAACTGTACTCTGTGCTTCATCAGAGACGATATTCAGCTACCTTCTAGGTTATCTTGAGGTTATCTTGAGATGATTTCGGGGCTTTTTTAGTGTCCCTGCGGCCCAGTCCTCGACCAGGCCTCCACCCTCAGGAAGCAACCCGTGACAGCTGACTAACACCCAGGTACCTATTTTACTGCTAGGTAACAGGGGCATAGGGTGAAAGAAATTCTGCCCATTGTTTCTCGCCGGCGCCTGGGATCGAACCCACGACCACAGGATCACAAGTCCCGCGTGTTGTTCGCTCGACTGACCGGCTCCCTTAATATCCCAATCCCAATTTTCGCTCATTGCTCATATTTTCTGTTATTCATTTCATAAACCCTATCAAACCATCCTAACCTAACTTATTATATAACAAACAAATACATTTCTACAGACCAGTTGTTGTTGTTTAGCGACGTCACAAAAAGCGACCTCAGTATAGGGATAATGTATTGCTGGCCATTAGCATATAAGTGTTAAGGCACCACAGCACCTGACTGTTCAAACTATGTATGACGTCACCAGATGACCAATGCGGCCTTTAGCGTCCTACTAGCATATGTATTTAATGTTATTAATCAAAATGGCTACACTAACCATCCCCACCTAACCTAATCAGAGGTTTAAGAATATACATTTTAATCATCCACAACTGTAATTATTATTCGGTAATAAGTGCAAAAGTATAACAACAACCCAAATGTCGTACCGCAATTTAAGCAGAATCGTACATCTGGCAGCATAGCAGGTGAGCTGAACATAAGAATAAAGGTAACTGCAGAAGTCCTATTGGCCCATACGAGGCTCCTATATATTTCCACCCAATCTCATTCATATTCATGTCCACTCTATGCTTAAAACAACCAAGGGGTCCCACTTAAAGTATTAGTTTACAATAATAGTTTTAATAAATAGCTCTCATTCTAGTTTTATACACAACAGCAATTATGAAACCCTATAGATAGATATCGTACTATAATCCACAAGTAGTTACCACACATCTGGCAGCACAGCGGATTAGTAGCTGTATTGATAGGCTAGTCAACTGTCCTCACATCCATCAAATAGTTATCCAAATGTCGCACCTCAATTCATCCATCTAGCAACTTAGCTGGATGCTAGTCACTATATTCATAGGCTAATCATTTCTACACCTCAAAAATAAAAAATCCTAGTTTATAAACCAACACTCGCAAATACATGCATACATACCTACACATACTCCACAACCCATACATTCATAGAGAATAGCCTAGTTTTTTGCCACTATTTCCCCATTAATCAGATGTAATTTATGCCATACACAGAAAATACAGCATTTACACACCAAATATGCCATTTATGCACAAAATATGTTATTTACACTCAAAATATACCATCACACAAAAATATGTCATTTATAGACAAAAATATGACATTTACATGCAAAATATGTCAGTTGCACACAAAAATGTACAATTTACACAATATTGCATGTACACTTAGAGTATAACATTTACACAAAGTATGGTATTTGCACAAATATATCAAAATGCTTATATATTTAGACAATCAAAAATGCGCTTTCACTATAATTACACAACTTCACAAACATAATTTTCACAAAATACCCACACATTGTCTCATAAACCAAAATACACTTACACCATGAACATCTATTTTTTCAGATTACAGAGCTTACACAAAATACACAATTTGCACTTAAAAATACAGTTGCACCAGTTCCACTTCGACAAATTAAAAACACAACTTGCATAAATGCACTATTAGCACCAAAATTATTATAAAACATGGACAATTATTACACAAATTGTGTGATTATTATACATCTTTGCACAATTAATACAAGCAAACTTGCTATATAATTACTCAACTTGCACAATGACAATCAATACACAAAGGTATAAATAAACAATTCGTCCATATGCAATTACACAATATGCGCAATTAATACACAACTTTCACAAATAATGCACATCTTTCATAATTATTACACAACTTGCACAAATACATATCTAGCACAAATACGTACAATACATAACTACCCCAAATATGAAAATACACAACTAGCATAAATACACGATTTACACAAATACAATTACGACATTTACATAATTAATACACAAATATTAAAAAAATATAATCAATACACAACTTACCAAAATATGAACAATACATAACTAGCACATATTCATTAAACACACAACTACACAATACACAATTTAAAGAAATATAATCAATACATAATTGCAATAATCATACAACTTATGCAAAATACATAATCTGCACAATTAATACACAAGTATATTAATTGTGCTATATATGTACAAATACAAACACAACCAACTAGGTTAAACAATACACAATTTGCATGATATTTTTCTAGATATTTTTCTATCGAGGGCTGGGGTTGTTGCTGTTGCGAACTCGTCGGAACCAGTGGTTGGAGGCATTTGTTTGGGTTTAAACTGTTAGTAGATAGTGGTATGGGTATTGATATGGAGGAAGGAGGTAATAAAAGTATGTATTTGTGGGAGAAAAGAATTGGCAAATTGATCAGGGCAAGAGAAGGGCCTCAAAATAACAATTCACTTCGGGTATATTACACTAACAGTAGAAGTCTAAGAAACAAAATAAACGAATTAAATGATCATGTCTGTACAGAAAAAATATATATTATTGCACTTACCGAAACGTGGATGAATGTAGAAAATAGAGAACTATTAGCTGAATATCAAATAAATGGATTTAAACTATTTCACACAGATAGATATATTAGACGAGGAGGGGGAGTAGCCATATATGTTAGGGACAATTTGAAATGTAGTCTCAAAGAGGTAATCAAAACTGAGCCACACACAGAAACTATTTGGATAGAATTAAACGAAAAAGCAAATAATCTTATAATAGGAGTTATATATAGGCCACCAAATTTTGACAGAATGGAAGCAAAGCATCTATGGAATGAAATATCTAGATCTAAAAGTATTTGTATCATGGGTGACTTTAATTTTAGTGGAATAAACTGGATTAACAGAACATTGAATAATGAAGCAGAAGATTTTATAGAATTAATTGATGATTACTTTCTTACGCAAC